TGAAATGCATCACCTGTTACCGGGCAGATTCCAGCTCCCCAGGTAGAAACCCCTTACCCAGGTAAGTGATGCAAGTCACGTAAGCAGAGGGAGCAGGTTTCCCCCCTCCCTCAGGAATGCAGCCAGCTCCAGTTCCCTAAAGAGACAGGCTGAGGGTGTGGTCCCCTGTGTGCTGGGCCCATCCTAATTAAATGGTCACAGCACAGAGATTTAAATCACAGTGTCACAGGGCAGAGATTTTTGGGGAGAAACCAAGGTGGCTTTCTGCCACAGCATACCACACTTAAATGTATGATGCTTCATTATGTACAATGAAGTAACATCACTACAACCCCTCTGTAATCTCTCCAACAAGCTAAAATGCTATAAAGAAAATCATCCTCCCACCACCTTTTCCCTCCACTTATATTTCCCCTTTTCCATTCCTTCTTTCACATACTCTTTAGATGCTACCACATCCACAAGGATAAGTGCACCCCATTTTGAAAAAGTGGAGAGATCATTGTTGAAATAATGGTCTAAGTCCAGAACACAGTGACTTTTTAGCAAGGGGGGGTAGTAATGGGACAGGGTCTGATGTTTGGTTTTTTCCAATTCCAATTTTGGAATATGGCAGTAAATCAACATCAGAGAGCCATTCAATGACCTAAACACTAGTCACACTTCACAAAACATACCATAGCAATGGACAACTTTTGTCCAATGGGCAGCAGATCTAAAACCAACTAGACTCTCACCACCAGATAGGAATCTTCCTGTTCATTATAGAGGCACATTGGTTGTAAGTGTTTGGGGAGTTTGATTTTTGTGAGTGGCACTGGCTTTCCAGTCCTGGGGACTGAAATACTCATTAAATATAACAGGAACAGCACAGGAAACAGAAACAATGAAAAAAATTAAATGTCAGGGAGGGCTAAGGTAATCAGTCTAGTACCTTTCCCATAACACTTGTGACAGCCTATATTTTTCTGTGCCTTATTAACTTTTAGAGGACTAATAGTATCTTTTTATATATTTCAGGACACGCCACTATGGACCTGGTCAAATGCCAAACAGCCACGTACCCAACCAGGTGGCTTGTTGCTTCTGCAGTGCAGTCACTTTTCTTCTCTAAAGGTTGAAATCTCTTGCTGTTTATGACAGCTTGAAAAAAAATACCCTGATAACATTTAGAAATTTAGCTGGGTTTTTAAAGTATATTGTAAAAGACAGAGACCATACTTTGAACAAGCTATGTCTAGTTCTCTAACATTTCTAAGTTACTTATCTCTTTGGAGAATCAAGACCCCTTGAAAGCACATTTCTGGATATTCTGTAACATCCCAGTATGAAGAGGGGGTGAATTAACTCAGTTACCAGAGTAGCTCTGTTTACATGAAACACACACTAATGGTTCTTATGTAAAATAACCATTTTACAGCTCTGTGATCTGAACAAATACTTTTTCTAATTGGATTGGCAGAATCTAACAATGAAGTAACTGTGTCACCCAACAGGTGCTAAGCCCATGACCAAAATCAGCGGTCACTTCCAGATCACGCCTTTGGCTGACAGAAAGATATCTGGAACCAGTTTTCTTTTCTTATAATTTGCATACAGGAGCTTGCCAACTTTAAACATGGATGGAATCTTGTTTCACTAGTTATGCCATAAGGTAATGACAGCAACATTGGACATAATTAAGTCAACCCCAGGTGACCAAATACTACTTCAAGGGAGTTGTCACACAGTTTCTTACCAGTACATCTGTCAGGTAATCTACACTGTAGTTCTCCCCATGCTTTCGTGCCTTTCCATTTATTGAAAGAGTGTAGTTGTAGTACTTTGAGTTTTTCTCCTGTAAAAAAACAGAAAGGAATCAGTATGTATTTATGCAAAATACAAGGTCTATTAACTACTTCAAATACTTCAAGCCATGTACAAATATATATAGTTTAACAGTTTCAAAAGGGAGGGGAAGCCACTCTTTAGAAATGCACAGTAGCAGTTGTGGATGCAAGTCTGCAGCGATACAAGCAAGCTAAACTGCCCATCTTTGAAGGTAGTTTGGTTTAAGGTTGGAGCAGTTTTGTTGCTACAAATTCATGCAGCAGTAACACTTGTATCAATATCAAAGAATATCAGTATAAGCCAATATGGTGTGACTGATGCATCTATATCAAAGTTAAGCAAGTATGTGTCAATCTTACATCTGCATGACAGTTTGCTCTAAGTATCTGCAGTACCAAGCAGGGCAAACATCCTACAAGCTTTGCTTTCCGTAAGACCAGTGATGAGAGAGAATACCAAAAGGACTTGGCATTATAATAGAGCTAATTAGGTTTTCAGGCATTTATACAGACTCCTCAGTAATGTTACAAACCTCCACAGAAAGGTTTATTTTATAACTGCAATATGAGGGAAGGAACAATCGCATTTAGTTATCAGAAGCAAGCAAGAAAAGACCAGTTCTTATTCAGTGCATTTAAGTTAAAATTTATATTGCAAAATATCTACCGCTAGGTATTCAAGAACAACTAACACATACCAATGCATACCAAAAACTCCATCCTGGAGGAACATGGCCTACTCCCCCAGCACCTTCTGCTCCATACTGGGGGGTGGAAAAAAAAAAAAGAGAGAATTAATAGTGACCCAGCACTAGCTCATGTACAACTCAGATAAAAGCTGTTTCAGTTGTATATGACTCTCTAACACCAGCCAAAAAGCCCCAGAGGCCAAACTCTACCCAAATATGTACCCCCCCCCCCCCAAGTCAGTTTATAATATCCACCTATAATAAGTCAAGGCTAATGCTCAATTTATAGTTACTCATGCAATCTCCTTATGCATCTATCCTGTGCACTTGAAGATGAAGGAGTCCTGTAGAGAACGTGATTATTACATATAGGCTATTCTAAAGACTATGCATACTGGGGTAGTCTTGAATCTGGCATTTCCAAAATTTTCAAATTCTTGGCTGTTAAATCTAGAAGGGACAGAGACATCTGCAAATAACAACTCCCATCCCTATGCATTCAGTAGAGGGCTTGAATGCTGAACTTTCATTATTGCAATGCAAACTTCTACCACTTTATCTAGAGTGCTCAGCAAAAGCAAAGGAAAGGAGATGTGCTGTTAGAGCCATGTGCTGGACTCAGAATGGGGGTGATCCAGCCCAACCTGCCTTGCTTCTCTCCCACTAAGGAGTTTGGAAAGCTCCTGCTTCACATAATCTAGGTGAGGTGACAGGATATAATCTAGGTTGGGCCAGGGGTAATCAGAAGAGCCTACTTAAGCTATTACTGTACTACGACTGCTCAGGTAGTTCCCAGTTATTCCTGATATGTTTGTGCCGGTGTTACTGCAGCAGAGGCATGGATCTAGTTTTTTCCAATGTTAATATACAGTTATTCTCCTGTACCACTAGAATTTGACTAAGGAATGTGACTACGAAATGCAAGGAAAATGATAAGTTTTCAAGAGTGCAACACCCACCCAGACCAAAACTGAATTTAATAGATGAGCTGGGAGCACATCTCTAGTCCTACACATTTATCCCTACTGGATTTTAAAGGCCTGCTGCAAACAAACTGCAGACAGCCACAGCTTCCTCCAAGGGGCTGCTAACATTTTGAGAGGAAAATTGCAAAGCAGTTTAACTAGAGAGGTCCAGTACCAGCTCCCTACCTTCTAGATTTCCTTAGTACATATTTTGTATATACCTCTTGCATAATCATCATGCATTTCTGAAATTAAAATCACTAATGCATACACTTGCCTATAAGGAGACATTTCAATCAATACCAGCAGGGAAAATCCAAAGTTATTTATTTTTATAAAGACCACCATCAAGTCAGCCTCAACTAAAAGCAGAAAGGCTTTAGAAAGAAGTACTACACAGGCAAGTTGCAAGCAGTAAGTGGCTTCATACCCATTTATTTAAGTATGAAAGAAGAACAGCCAAGTAATTCTTCTATGGTTTGGTATTCCATACCCCCTATTTATAATTCTTAAGGCATCATCTCTGGAAATAAAGCCACATTGATTTTATTAAAAGTAATCACTATACAATTCCTTCAGTATCTAGCACCTCTCAGAACTGCTGAATTTCTCAGAGGGCTACTTCTCAAACAAATACTGAGTTTTTGATCAAATTTAGACTGGATTTAAAGAATCAAAATCTAAATTTAGATTGTATTTATTTCTTTTCTTCCCCATTCTTATAGCAGTTTTAATCTGGAATCTTTGATCAGGTTATCAATATTCAGGGGTACTACTTTAAACTCAACTTGGAAGGACGTGGGCAGTGGGGTTCCGCAGGGCTCAGTCCTCGGGCCCGCACTGTTCAACATCTTCATCAGTGATTTGGACGAGGGGGTGAAAAGCACCCTGTTCAAATTTGCTGATGACACTAAGATGTGGGGGGACGTGGGCACACTAGAAGGAAGAAGCAGGCTACAATCGGACCTGGACAGGTTACAAGGGTGGGCGGATAAGAATAGGATGGGTTTCAACATGGACAAGTGCAAGGTGATGCACCTGGGGAGGAACAACCGGCACCATACCTACAGGTTAGGGAACTCCCCTCTTGTCAGCACGGAGGCGGAAAAGGATCTTGGAGTCATCATTGACTCCAAGATGAACATGGGTCGGCAGTGTGGGGAGGCAGTTAGGAAGGCCAACCGTACCTTGTCATGCATCCACAGATGCATCTCGAGCAGGTCCAGAGAGGTGATCCTCCCCCTTTATGCGGCACTGGTCAGGCCGCAGTTGGAGTACTGCGTCCAGTTCTGGGCGCCGCACTTCAAGAGGGATGTGGACAGCATCGAGAGGGTCCAGAGGAGGGCCACTCGCATGATCAGGGGACTGCAGGGCAGGCCCTATGAGGAGAGACTACGGGACCTGAACCTGTTCAGCCTCCACAAGAGAAGGCTGAGGGGGGATCTTGTGGCCTGTTACAAACTGGTCAGGGGGGATCAGAAGGCATTGGGGGAGTCACTGTTCCCCCGAGCACAGCCAGGAGTGACCAGGAACAACGGTCACAAGCTAGCAGAGGGTAGATTTAGGTTAGACATCAGAAGGCGCTATTTCACGGTCAGGGCGGCTAGGGTCTGGAACCAACTTCCAAGGGAGGTGGTGCAGGCTCCCACCCTGGGGGTTTTTAAGAAGAGGTTAGATGAACACCTTGCTGGGGTCGTTTAACCCCAGTACTCTTTCCTGCCATGGCAGGGGGTCGGACTAGATGATCTTCTCAGGTCCCTTCCGACCCTAGAAACTATGAAACTACAAAAATCAGTACTTAGGCTTTATTTTAAGGTCCACTGTAAGAAAGAGGACAAAGAATTCAGTTATGACACAGCACAATATGGGCAAACCATATAAAAAGCATGGATTTCTTAGGGTGATACCTTGGACCAGCTGCATAGTTTGAACACAAGAAAAGCCATGTATTTGAAAGCTTATTTAACTCTATCCCAACTATGTAGTTGGCATAATAAGAGATAACACCCTGAGAAATCCTTGCCTCATATAATCCATGGACTATCACAGCTATGACATCACTCTAACACTACCATAATATCAAAAAGTTGGTAAAACAAACCTCATTCAAATACTTCCCAGCAAAGAATGTTTGATAACCACAGGAGGACTGGAGGAGGGCTGGGAAGGTATAGGGTTCCTGTATCTTTTGCCATGATTTGCTGCTACAGTTTCCCTCCAGGGTGTTATTGACAACATGGTGATTGTGTGGGTACTTCCCTGTTAAGATGCTGGCTCTGCTGGGACAGCACAGGGCACTTGGCACATACTAGAAAACAGAATAATAACGATTAAAAAAAAAAGTTACAAGGTACAAGCTGAAAACAGAGCTTTTACCTGAAAATTTCGGGTCTCAAATGGCAGCAAGCACCATGTGAAAAGATAACCTGACAACAGAATTACAGCCGAGATTCACATAGGCCAGACCTGGGTGCACACAGCTACAATCTGTATCTTTATTTACACAAAGATCCATGTCTTTACCTCCACTCTGAGACTCCCTGTACAATTGGGTTCATGTGTGCTATAGCACTTGCAATTTAGAAAGGTTATTGTAGTTACACTAAACACACAGCAGTAGCTATCAGCTCACTTAGCACATTCGGGTAAACAAGAACAGAGACACGCTATTGGGCAACTTTTTAGCCTCTGCAAAGAAAAAGCTTTAGTTCTGTTTTGCTGCCACGAACATTGTCAGGAGCCTAAACCATCTCTCTCGGACGACTGGGAACCAAATTCATTTCCTGACCTCCTCCCTGCACATCTGGGCAGAGAGAAGCAGACTCAGAACTGAAACCATCTTAGTGGTAAGATGGCATGTGCTGCAACGCCGCTCCAGCTTGCTGTGCTTTCAGGTAACACCTGAGGGGAGGCTCCAAGCTGTGCTGTGGTACCTACCGCGTTGGAGAAGGCCATGCCCATGTCTCCGATGAGGGCTTTGGTTTTCTTCAGAGGCGTCTGCAACGAAGGCAGCCATTAGGACGAGGAACTACAGCCACCCGCACACCACATCCAGCCCCGCCACACGCGACCCTGCCTGAGGGACCTGTGCCAGGGGGCGAAGCACCGGGGCATAGGGGGGAGGGGAAGGGTTGGTCCTGCAGGTGCCCAGCCCGCGTCTCTGCTTGAGGGCCAAGCTGCCGCCAGGCAGGGTTGTGCTTTGCGGGCAGGCGCTGGGACGGACTCGTCCGCGGGCGGGGCCTAGGGCAGGGGGCGCGGGCAGGTGGCCGTACCATGCCACCCAGGCTGACGTCCTGATCATCGGTGAGGATGAGCACCACGTTGGGCCTCCGCGCGCCGCGAGAGCTGGTCGCCTCCACGCAGCCCAGCGCCAGCAGCGCCAGAGCCAGAGCGGCGGGAGACATGGCGATGGGCGCAACAGCGGCCGCCTCCGGCCCCGAGACCACCAGCACCAGCAGCCGCCGCAGCCCAGGAGGAAGCAGCACCACCCGCTCCGCCCTCGGCGGCAGTAGCAGCTGACCGGGCCCGCGAGCCGCTCACGTGACCGCAGCGGTCGCTCCGCTCCGCCCCTCGCCCCGCCCCCTCGCGCCTGGTGCGGGTTAGTGGGGCTGGGGTCAAACCCGGGACACGCCCCGGCGTTCACAGACGTCCCAGTGCGAGGAGGGGCGCTTGGCTCGCAGTTGAGCACCCTGGCAGCCGCACGAGCTCCTTGCGCGGCATTAAGTGCCTGCAAATGCCCCGAGTTAGCACTGGGCTTATCAGGCCGCGGAAGCCTGGTGTGCAGCCCGGTGCCGGCCGCCGCTTTAGGTGGGGGTCGGAGTGGGAGATCTAGCAAGTTCTCTTTGCTAGGAAATGCGTCCTTTTCCCGGCATTTATACACCACAAATCTTAGAAATATTGTGGCAGTGAGTGGTGAAAAAGTGTGCCTCGTATGCAGTCGGCTGGCTGCTTTCAGCCCGCAGGAGGCTGAGCGATGGCCACCCGGTCACAGTGCGCGGGGAGGGTGGGTGTTGCTGTGACCTGTGTGCACGTACTGGGCCTTGGCCTCTTCCCGTTGCACCACACAAGCTGCTTGTGTGTCACCTTCCTGTTCCTCTGTGTCATGAGCTCGTGCAGTTCCCAATACCCCCTATAACTGGTGACCCTTCACTTTCCCCAATGCCAGGACTTTTCTGTGAGCTGCTTGCAGCTGACTGGATGGACAGCAAAAACCACAATATGCATCTTCAAGAGGAGACAGACGGTCACCTTGCTGGAGTCACCTGACCCCCAGTTATCTTTCCTGCTTGGTGCAGAGGGCTGGACCTGATGATCTTCTGTGGTCCCTTACAATCTATGAATATTGAAAACTGCAGTTTTTGCCTCCTGGCCATCAGGAGCGAGTGGTGAGCAGTGGGGCCAACAAGGCCCCTGTACCCATCAGCAGTGGGGCAGGGACATGCAGAGGGAAACCAAGATGAAAGGAGCCACGGCACAGTGCACCTCTGGTGCAGACTCCAGTGGTCCTTACCACTGGGCAGCAACAGGGTGGGCCGATCGCTTGGAAAAGTGAGACCTATCCCTGCAGCATTTTATACCAACACTAGACAAGGCCCCCTTGGGCACAGCCTTGGCAGAGAAGTGTGGGCCAAGCTGAACTGACTGGGGTCTGGATACGGAAGCTTCAAAACAACACTGCACAAGATGAACGTCTTGTGAAGTGAATGCGAGGTCCAACAAACAGCACAGTACTTAATGGAAAGCTGCAATCTTTACAAATGCCCAGTTTGAGCAATAATACCAGATAATGGCTCATACATTTGGAAGTTGATATTTTATGCCATATGAAAGAGAGTTAGGGGTGGCCTTCAGTGCAAATCCAGAGCAAGGCTCAAACTTGTGGCTCTGAAGCTGCAGCCATGCACTTTCATTGCTCTGCCCTTACACACCATAGCAAGAGGAGGAGGATCCTGTAACTAAATACACTCACATACACCATGGATATGAATGCACGTAGAACTTGGGGGTGATGTCTGCAACTCTTAGGACTTTGGATTATTACCTGATCTATGTAATCAGATTGTTAATAGGTATATACAGGAGCAGATGGGGAGGGGAGTTTGCTGGCACCTCTCTGATTCCTGGTCCATCCAAGATTTAAAACCAACTGCCTGGCAGTGGCAGCAACACTGTATTCAGGCAGCAGTGAGGAAGTCAATTGATTCTTAATGGCTCATTATAATTGGCTTGATTTCTTCTAAACCCTCCCTTCCACAGGTATTAACCACCCTTTTCCTTTTAAATGGCCCTTAGTGGTTCTGCTACTCCAGCTCTCCTTACTTTTGCAATGATGCTGTTTGTTAGCTGTTCCCATTTCACAGCTCTGGAGATTATTTTTGTCTCTAGTTAACAACATTAACTCAGGTGAGGAAATCACTTTTAATGAAGTACAGGAGGCACTGTTCCCATGCTTGAGAAGGCTTGATTATGTTTTATGAACTGAAAAAGAGACATACATTCAACTGTCATGACTCCAGAACTAATGACATAACATCTTTGGCTTGTATTTGCCTAGTGTGTAACATACACACACACCCCAAACTAGGCAAATGTAAGCCGAAGGTGTGTGTATGTATGTATATGATGTAGCAAATTAATGCACATTCTAATAAAGGTTTTTTTCCCCTTCAATCTTAAATTGAATAATATTGCTCTAGGGCCCCACTTGTTAGTGATGCTTCTAGTTTATTTTTAACTGGAGAAAGATGGGCATTATGCACTCACCATCTGCACCTGCCTCCCCTTTGCAAAACCTTATATTCAGCCATGAAGATATCACCTTTATAATAATTTATGTTTATATAACACTTGTATGCTATATGTGTAATAAACAGATATTGGAAAATATGTTCTCTGTGGAGTGGGTGCCACTGGGAAGAGGGAGATAGCACCAGAAGCACAGCTTTCTCATCCTGACATCAGAAGCTATGTTGCATCCATGAGGGTCAGGCATGAGGTAGGGTTGGTATGACAAGGGCTTTGCCTGAAATGATAACACAGCTTTTATTTTCTTTTGTAAGTAAATGTTGAAAGGAACTGAAAATAATGCTGCTGCTGCATCTAGCCAGATGCCTGTAGGAAGGGCAGGTGGAAGCCGTGGAGGCAGCTGCACAGGGGCCCAGGCAAGAAGCAAGCGAGGGTTGCGCTGCCTCCACGGCCTGCCCCTATCCTTTGCCTCTTAAAAAAATGAGGCGAGGCAGTAAGCGGCTCCTGCTCGGGGGGGGGGGGGGCCCCCCCCCCCCCCCACGAGGGGCCGGTTCCTCCCCCCCCCCTTTTTTTTTAAAGGGAAAAAGAAGGGGGGGGGGGCGGGGGGGCGCCCGGCCCCGCCCCCCCCCCCCGGGGGGGGGTTGCGCGCGGGGGGGGGGGGGGCCCCCCCCCCCCCCCACGAGGGGCCGGTTCCTCCCCCCCCCCTTTTTTTTTAAAGGGAAAAAGAAGGGGGGGGGGGCGGGGGGGCGCCCGGCCCCGCCCCCCCCCCCCGGGGGGGGGTTGCGCGCGGGGGGGGGGGGGGGGAGCGACGTGGCCGGCTGCCGCCCTGCTCCACTGCACCGAGGGCAGGTTGCTGCCGGCAGGAGGCGGCTCAAGCCCAGACACCAGCGTCAGGAACAGGCCAGAAGCCACCAGCGCACTGGTCCCTTCCTGCCCCCCGGCTCTGTCCTGGCTGCGCTCTCCCTGCCCAGCAGGTGCGACCCCCCG